AAAATAGGAAATAATATAGCGCACCAAAAAGTTGAACGGTACCATCCCTCCACATTTCATGTGATCGTACTGGTAAAATAATATGCCAAGAATAATGTGTACTAAGTAGCAACTGGTCTAAGCATACACTGCTGAAATTTAGGGTCAGCCGCTATTGAGAATGACAAATTTAGTTTATTTCAAATGAGTCAGCAGAACTTTATTCTACATAGAGTGATTGAGATTTTTGGATTTCCCGCACCGCGAAATAACATTCATGCAGAGTCGGTAATTTAGGAAATATTTGATTTCTTTATTGAAGCGGAGGACTCTCATCTCTATGCAGTATTGGCCCATGACAAGTCATAATGGGTCATATCATTAAGTTCAATTAGTAAAATCATATGATCTTGTCATATGATTTTACTAATTGAACTTAGTGATATGACCATTATGACCTTGTCATGGCCAACACTGTCTCTATGCGCTTTGATAACCGAAATTACGGTTTTGGTGCATTTACAGTATAATCAAAAAAGTAGTTTCAGCACTTTCCGTAACGCCGTGTGTACTTGGTGTAAAAAAAATATGCATGTTACGCGTTTATGTAATATGCATGAGCTCCGGACTTAAACCGGTTTCCGGTTCCTAGTTTATTCTGTCTCAATAACTATCGCGTGGGTTAATCACTTAGTTCACGTTTCCTACGGTGCAAGAAATCCACAATCACCTTATAGAGACAAAGTATAAACAAATAGAATATCGAAATCAAATATAGCACAGTATTTCCTAAATTATTAACATCAATAAAGTGAATACATAATACCTTATTGAAGTCGATAATTTAAGAAATATGATTATGCACGGCAGAAAATTTAAAAATCACCATCTCTCCAGAGTTAATGTAACGTATAATTAATAGGCATAATTAAGTAGCACATTTGAAGTCAAATATTTCTTAAATTATCGACTTCAATAAAATATTTATGTACATGCTACTAGTTTATACTTTATAAGGAGTGATTGTGGTTTTAAATTCCTTGCACTGTACATACACACTTTATTGACGCTAATAATTTAGGAAATACAGTATTTGGTTTCAACATACTACTTTTTATACTTTGTCTCTGTAAGGTGATTGTGGTTTTTAGATTTCTTGCACCGTACCTTGTTTCCTTAACTCTTACACCTGTCTATACCTTCGACAACTTCCTAACCTTCTTCACTTAAGGTTTTACTGCTTTAACACAAGGCATAGGTTTGTAATTATACAAGAAAATCTTCTAAATTACACTCATATTACGTCGATCACTACTACCGTATTTTCGCGAAATAAGTACAATATAAACTTTTATTATATGTTGTACTATGTGCAACTAATCAATTCCCTACTACGCCCTAAGTTTTCGGAGGTTCATATTCTTTATTTAAGGCAGGCTTGCGACGTAATAATGTAATTCTCATTTACTTAATAAAAATCACATTCTTGGTTCATTTATAAAGCATAAATATTTTTTTGTTTTAAACATCTTATTATTTGTCATGTCTGACCCTGTTGGAAAATTGATTCAAAACAATTTAGAATGGGCTGGGCGTATAAATTCTAACAATCCAAATTATTTTGCTAACAGTGCAATTAAGCAAGAACCAAAATCTATTTGGATTGGTAAGATTATATAGTGTTAGTTAAAATATTATCATACTAAGAAGAATTTTTATAACTAAAATGAAACTACTTGAACTATAGGTTGTTCTGACAGCAGTCTCTCCAGAAATAATTACTCAATCAAGTCTTGGAGAAATTTTTGTTCTTCGAAATATCGCCAATCAGTTCAAGACTACCGATTTAAGTACATTGTCGTTAGTAGAATATGCAGTAAAACACTTAAAAGTCAAACACATAATTGTGTGTGGTATGTGAAAAAGTTTGACATATTTCATCGATAATATTAATTTATCAAAATCTATTCTATAATTTCATGCAATTATAGGACATTATGGATGCGGTGGTGTTGGTCATGTTATAGATACAGCCAACAATTTCAATCAGCATGATCACATTGATAATTGGTTACAAACTATTAAGGATGTTTACTTATCTCATAATTCTCATTTTATTAATAAATCCAACGAAGAACAGAAGAATTTGTTGGTCGAACTTAACGTCAAAAAACAAGTTTTTAACATTTCTACTGTGGATGATATTCAGAAAGCGTGGAGGTCTGGTGATAAAATCGTTATACATGGTCTAGTTTACAACCTAAAAACTGGCCTACTTAAGAATCTTGATGTTGATATTGGAAATTCAAGGCGTAAGCGAATCAAATTTATATTTACAAATATTTTAATAAATTTAAGTTTTTATATCTTAATGTTTTACTTGATTTAAATTTCTGTTCTTAATTAATAGCTGGTAAGTTATATAATATTAATTGTATTTTGGTTGATTTATGTTCATTAATACAATATTTTAATAATCATAGAACGTAAGTTGAGTTAAATGCAAGTTTCTTTTGAAATTTATTTAAATCATTTTTTTCTGACTAATATCTATAAATGCCATTAATAATTGCAGAAAGTATGTTGAAAGAATTTCTTCTATTTATTTATATCAAATTTTCTAAATATCTTTGATTTTATATTTATTAATACTGTTAATAATTGCATGTTAAAATCACTAAAGGGTATTGGTATTTAGCAGAACGTTTTGGATTTTCATCTGGAAGAGTTCAGTCTCCCAGTCGTCGTCCAGATCTTGACAATATAGCACTTAAAGATGGTTTTAGAATTATGAATGCTCATTCTGGAAGCATAGAACTTGTAGGAAATGTTTATAATGTGATATATGGAACAGCAGCTATGCAAATAGGAGAAGCCAAGCCAGGTGAATGGGTGTGGACCACCAATCCCTAGGAAATGCCAAGTTGCCAATTAAGGTTGGACTACTAAACCAAAGGATACGAAATTTTTTCTTTAAATTATAATTGTTTGACGAAGTGGTTCTTATAGGAATATTTTTTTTATCTAAAGATTCTTGGTCATGAAATATGAATTTTATATCTAGTTAGAGTAATCGAATCAGCGCCTTTATATTTTTTTTATAAGTCTATTGAACAGGGTGTTAGAACTATTAGGATATTAACTAAGCAAAAATTACAAGAATTCTTAATTAGTTATTTCTTTAACTGCAGACAGTGACTCACTCGGCTTAAAAGCCCAGGTGCGACATCTCTTAGTGGTCGTTTGCCTTTCTTCGGGCCTCTAACTTACTAGAAGCATGAATCCTTCGATCATTGGCCGGTACTACACGTCATATCAGTATTATCTTTTCTTTTTTTAAAACTAAAAGACCAAGCAAGGAAACAGAAAGGCAATATAAAAAAAGAGGATTAATACCTCGATGTTCAAATACGATCCACCTAATCAAATAAAACCAAAAACAAATAACAAGAAAAAACAAAAACAAAATAAAAGAAAACAAAACAAAGATAGCACTATTAAACCCATACCAGATTGTAAAAATTATATATAACTACTAAATAAATTAGACTAAACTCTATACTAGTTATTTATGTCTATATTAGGATATATACAATATCCATTCTTGAGTAGAGATCTAAGTTCGAAATTTCTTTTGTGGTTCTACCAGATTTTCGATATGGTATCCTACAATGTGTCTTCGCTTATTTTTGGGGCAAAGTTAATGGTGTAAATACCGTAACCTCTTAGGAAAGCCGTTTAATATGTTTTTCATCTCAAAGTAGACATATACTACTGTATATAACTTTTCTTTTTCGGTAGCGATTGTTGTTGTCGATCTTTCGATAGGGGAATGCTGACTTTTTCACTTTTTGATGAAACTTCATAAAGAACAGAGAGTGGGGTCTTGGTAAAGGGTTTTGGTTAGCAGGTATCTTTAAACTTCGATAAGAAGTGTGTTGAAAACTTGCTTGTTGTTCTTCTTCAGACCAACTATCTTTCACTTTGTTAGCAGAAACTATGCTTCTATTAAAATTTTTTGCACAAGGACACTACTTCTTGCCAGTTATCTTGTACAAGAATGTTTTTAACTTGCTTGCTAAATATACAGAGGAGTTCGGAGAAAGAAAAGCAATAAGTCTTGACCTCTGTAAAAACTGTTAAATATAGTTGTCTCTTCTACTTTCTTCAACAAGTTTTCCATTTTCATTAGTCGTAAGTTTGGTATGAGTGATCATCAGAGAGAGTGATGTCAGGTAGGTTAATTAAAAATGTCAGAAAGGTAATTTTGCTTATATATAACTACTTAAAACCTAATCTAACCCCAATATAAGATGATCCTAACCCTAAAGTTAATTTAATAAAATATATATTATAAGAATCTGCTCTGCTTTAGACATCCCTCATAAATAGATATTGAAGATCGCATCTTTTATAGTATAAGGATATTGATTAGAAAATTCTAGATTTCATGGCATATAAGCATTAACCAATCAAATCAATCAAATATTCTATATACAAAATAAATAACTTATTATTAATGAAATAATAAGCAAAGCTTCACTTTTATTAAGAATTCTAAATAGTAATTTATTTTGCTTAATTATTACCATATTACTAATCTATATTGTAACATTTGTTTGTAGCATTAAACAATGCTACCCATATATAGTTGACTCTAAATATAATAAACTTTTTTATAACAAACTCTAGATTTAACGAACTCAAAAATTTTGAAATTTCATAATAGTTCAGTATAAAAAGTGGCATGGGTTCTTAAAACATAATAATTACTCTATAATGAATGTTTTTTTCTTTCAGAATCTTCAGTTCATTATAGAAAGGGTTGACTGTACATAGTATTATTCAATGATATCACTCATACATTAACTAGCAATCTAAATCTACTTAAAATATCACAGGTATTTCTTCTATGAACTATATTGATACCTATATGATAGTTAAATTAAAAATATAAAAGTTTTAGCATAAATAAACTTATAACTTTGTTAAATATAATACAAGATCTTAAAACTATTTTAAGTTAACTAATAGCAATTCTTAGCTTCTTATATAAAGTAAATATCTATTTTTAATGTTTTATTTATTTTTTTGACAAGAGTTAATTAGTGTTAATTAACTTTGATTATCTAAACTAGACTATATATACTACCGAAATAGATTTTTTAAAAAAACCCTATTTCATTTCTATTAGAGCAATTTAGAATTTTTTATATTCAAGAGCAAATCTAATTTAGGTAGTTATGTTTCTTATAATTTCATCTCTTCAAAAAAAGTATCAAAAAATTTTATTTTTTAAGTAAAATAGATCAAAAACAATTTTATCTTCAAATTTTAATTTTATACCCCAAAACCTAAAATAATTTTGTTGGCATGTATAAACTAAACATCTCGAACTACATATTTAAAACTTATTAAACTTGAATAATTATTAAATTTTTTTTTAAAATATAATAATATTTGAGGGGTAAAAGACATGTGAGAGCCAATTAAATTCAAGAATCTGTTTATAGATCATTCTAAAATACGATTTTCTAATTTGGTATATTCTCTGGCTGCAATAAGTGTTCTGATTGTTTCTATTACTCATGTTAAATATGTTCAATTTTTCTTACTATAGTAAAGATTTTCACTTCTTTCTAATTTTCAGGTTATAAAAAATAAAAAATAAAAAATAGGTCAATAGTGATAATTGAGCTGTATATACATGATTATACTAGTTCTGTGCAATATTATATATTATGTAGCTACTCTAATTATATAAATAGATTAGAAAATTCTAGACTTTTAGTTTTATTGAGACTAATAATTTAAGAAATTTATTTTGATTTGCTACTAATTTATATATTATCTTTAAAGTTTTTAAATTTTTTGTACTAGTATATGAAATCTAAAACCACAATCACACCTTATAGAGACAAAATATAATCAATGAAATTAGTAATTTAATTTTAAAGTTTACTTGATTTTAGATTACAGATTACACAAAGTAGATATATATTAAAATTCTTATTTCTTAAATTATTAACTTCAATAAAGTATGTATAGTAGATAGCAAAAGTAATATCCAATTTTTTAACAAAATGGAAGTTTCTAATTTAGAAAAAATGTGCTTGTCACTGGCAGTGACAAACCTCCTGTATAACATATAACCAAGTCAAAGAACAATTATATTGGGGAATTATTACGTCGGATGCAATCTAATCTAGTTAAGTTTGGTTTTCTTTCACTTCTCTTTTTGATTATTTCTTTTTTTTGTTTTTTTTTTGCTTATTTTTTTTTTTTTTGTTTTCTTTCGCTTATTCTTTTCTTTTACTTATTTCTTTTTTTTGCTTATTTTTTCTTTCTTTTCACTTTTTGTTTCTTTTTTCTTTCGCTTCATTTTGTTTTTTTTTTGCTGCTTTTCTTTTGTTCTTTTTTGCTCTTTTTCTTTTATGCTTTTTTTTCGTTCCTCTTTTTTTCTTTTTCTTTCATATTTTTTTTTTTGTTTCTCTTTTTTTCTTTTTGTCTTTCTTTCATTTCTCTTTATTTTGTTCTTTTTCTTTCTTTTGTTCTTCCTTTCTTTTGTTCTTTTTCTTTTTTTATTCTTTCTTTCTTTTGTTTTTTTCCTTTCTTTCATGTTTTTTTTTTGTTCTTTCCTCTTCTTTCTTTATTTCGTTCCTCTTTTCTTTATTTCATTTTCTTCTTTTTTCTTTCGTTTTATTCTGTTTTTTTTCTTGCTTCTTTTCTTTTGTTCTTTTTCGCTCTTTTCTTTCGTGCTTTTTCTTTCGTTCTTCTTTTTTCTTTTTCTTTTGTGTTTTTTCTTTGTTCCTCTTTTTTTCTTTTTTTCTTTCTTTTGTTCCTCTTTTTTTTTGTTCTTTTTCTTTCTTTTGTTCTTCTTTTCTTTTATTCTTTTTTTTTCGTTCTTCTTCTTTTTTTTGTGCTTTATCTTTCTTTTGTTCTTTTCCTTTCTTTCGTGTTATTTTTGTCTTTTCTCTTCTTTTCTTTATTTCGTTTCTCTTCTTTTTCTTTCTTTTATGTTCTTTTCGTTCTTTCCTCTTCTTTTCTTTATTTCATTCCTCTTTTCTTTATTTCATTTCTCATTTTTTTCTTTATTTCATTCTTTTTTTCTTTATTTCATTCCTCTTTTTTTTTTTATTTCATTCCTCTTTTCTTTTGTTTTTTTTCTTTTGTTTTGTTTTTTTTCATTCTTTTTTTTTTTTTTTAGTTTCGTTTCTTTTTTTATTAGTTTTGTTTTTTCTATTTTCGTTTCTTTTATTTTTATTTCTTTTTTTCGCTTTTTGTTTTTCCTGATTACTACCTCCTTTTTTCTAGTTCTTTCTACAGTATCTTTATAGTGTTTGTATATCTCTACAGTAATTGTGTAATGCCTACAACAATTGTGGTGTCTCTACGGTGATTGTGTAGTGTTTATGGCAATTGTGGTATCTCTTTAGCTTGTGTAGTATCTCTTTGGCTTGTGTAGTTTCTACGGTGATTATGGTGTCTCTATGGCTTGTGTGGTGTCTTTATGGTGATTGTGTGGTGTCTTTTCAGTGATTATGTGTCTCTTTGGCGATTATGTGTCTCTTCGGCAATTGTGCATCTCTTCAGTGATTGTGTGGTATCTCTTCGGTGATTGTGTGGTATCTCTTTGGTGATTATGGTATCTCTTCAGAGATTATGGTATCTCTATGGCTTGTGTGGTATCTCTATGGCTTGTGTAGTGTCTCTACAGCAATTGTGTGGTGTTTCTTCAGCTTGTATGGTATCTCTTCAGCTTGTGTGATCTCTATGGTGATTATGGTATCTCTATGGCTTGTGTGGTGTTTCTACGGCGGTTGTGTGGTGTCTCTTCAGTGATTATGATATCTTTTCAGTAATTGTGTAGTATCTCTTCGGTGATTATAGTGTCTCTTCGGCGATTATAATAT